GAAGGGAAAGATGACACACCACATAAAGCCGGCACCGCGGCAGCACACAGACCACTGCCACCACCCAGCCCCACCAGGCTCCTGCCCACCACAACCAGAGTCCCACCATGGCTGTGCCTGCAAGCCCACAGCACCCACGGGGCTACAGCATCCTGCTGCTCACGCTCCTTATGAAAGCTCTCGCCGCCACCGCCTGCAACCACCTTCGCCCCCAGGATGCCACCTTCTCTCGCGACAGCCTCCAGCTCCTCCGGGACATGGCTCCCAGCCCACCCCAGCCGTGCCCACAGCACAGCGCGCCATGCTCCTTCAACGACACCATCCTGGACACCAGCAACGCCCGGCAAGCCGATAAAACCACCCACGACATCCTCCAGCACCTCTTCAAAATACTCAGCGGACCCAGCACTCCAGCCCACTGGGTCGACAGCCAACGCCAAAGCCTCCTCAACCAGATCCAGCACTACACCCAGCACCTCGAGCAGTGCTTGGCGGGCAGCGACACGCGCTCCCACACACGATGGCCTCGCAACCTTCACCTCACCATCAACAAACACTTCAGCTGCCTCCACACCTTCCTCCACGACAACGATTACAGCGCCTGCGCCTGGGACCACGTCCGCCTACGAGCTCGCACCTGGTTCCTGCACATCCACGACCTCGCGGGCAACACGCGCACCTAGCCCCAAGCGCACCTCCCACCCTCTTCCTAGTTACCTATTTATTCAACTATTTATACAAACGGCTATTTATTCGTCTATTTATTCTTCTATTTATTCAGACAAAATAAAGCTCTCCTTTCCAAAACTGCCTGCGACTGCCTCCTTTCGCTCAATCACAGGAGCCCCTGTCGGGGGCAACCAACCCTGGGATTCTCACACACAGCTCTGAAAACTCTGGTACCCGCTTACTTCTTCTGTAAACCTTGCAGGTCCAGGGAGATCCACGAGTTCGCCACAAAAAGCAGACAAAGCAGGGACACCTGCGGCAGCAGGACCGGCCCGCTTTGACTAACAAAGCCAAAGCAAGAAGCTGATTATCACTTTCAGCACAGCAGCTTGACGGCCACAGCGGTACCGCGGGGACGGGCAAAAGTAGCCCTACAGTTAACTCGAGCCTTGAGTACGGTGAGCAAGAACGCAAAGGCGGCGTATCACTGTAGTACTTGACTCTTCACGCAAATCCTGTCAAACATCACCCCACACAGAGAAACCCACAAGCTTCAGCTTCTAAGGGGAAGCAGAGCAGACAAAGGTAGGGAGAAGGAAGGAGACAGCAGAGCTAAGAGACGGGAAGCTACAGTCATCTTACTCCACCATGACGGGGCACCTTCTTGGCAACCACTCCGCCTCACCTCGGGGTGGAGAACGCTGGCACAGCATGGATTTCAGTACCGCTGTGTCTTAGTTTCACAGGCTGGGACTAGAACTGTTTTCTTCAGAGCGCCTGATACGATGCGGTGTTTTGGTTCTAGGAGAAAAACAACGCTGCTAACACACCAACGCCTACTCTTGCTGCTAAGCGGTGCTGCACAGAGCCAAGGCCATTCTC